TGGAATCTCAAAAAAACACGTTTTCTCATTATTTGTTGTCGAATAAAAAGTTTTTCCACAAAAATTGGTGTACCCATTTTATGCGTCCATATTTAAAATATCCCCTTGAACAACTTGCATCAATAAAACCAGACTTTACAATTATTTCGCAAACCAGGGATATTTTCATCTAATATGATTAGACTATAACCAACTATCACAAATTTATCATTAACGACAAACAAATAAAACACAATCACCACACAAGGCATAATCTAAGAGGAACAGTTGTACCTAGACTAAATAAATCTATTACACAACGACCATACAAAGGTATGGTCGTTGTGTAGAGAAAAATCCCGTCTTTTAACTTTTTCTTGAACATTTCCTTAATATAGATAATAAAGATTAAGGTCGAAATTATACATAAATTTACCTGACGGTATAAAGGGTCTATGTTCAAGAAAAAGTTAAAAGACCGGATTTTTCTCTAGCAAGACCAGACGTATACAAATTAATAGTAAATGTCTGCGACGTTGGCAATAATGAATCGGGGTGTAAATCTCGTAAAACTTGTTTGTAGCGTTTTGTTTTTTGTATGCAAATGAACTTTTATAAATAAGAGCTGTTAGCAAGTACAGAATGAATCTGTTGCGTACAAAAAACCAAAACCAAAGACGGCTCGGACTAGCTGACGTTTACGGATCCGTCAAAATTATGTGTCCTGTGCTGACATGGGGAATTTTGAGATCTTACTAGATAATCAGCTGTAATTCTACCGTGATGGATACTCGTGAAATACTCCATCATAGCGAATGGCGACAGCGCGACAGATGCACAGTTGCCAACTGTTAGTTGATAAATTAGCTAGATCTTAGCTTGAAACCCGCTAAATAGGAAGTATTTCCTATAAATAATAGTCACATGTATATTTATTACCTAATATGAGCTCTGGCATTCGGTAACGGCCTTCCCATGACTAAAAAAAAACAAAAAAAGGTGATGGGTATCGTTGATAAGCATGTCTCGCTAGCTATTCGGCGATTCGATAATTTATTTAAAACTGATCTTTTTGCTCCGAGGAGACCTAGGTTCTCCGTTAAAAAATCCGCTATCGGAAATGGCCATTTTTCCGCCAAGTACAATTGACGGCCGCTGGATCTAGCGGAAAATCCGCTAAGTTGACTACATCGGACTTCTTTCGCAGCAGGACCAACATTCTTGAGTTTGAGGGAGTAGAAATGGTGATAGAAAGTGGCAAAAATAGGGGGTGGCCAAGAAATGCAGTACTCTTGAAATCAGTTCTACCGAAAAGTGATAGAAATGGATTCACTTTAAGGAGTCGCGATTTCTCTTGGTACTGGCCAAGAGAAATTGGACAAATTGACGTTTTTTTCATTGTTATTGTCGTTCCTGATAAACATATTGCAAAAAATGGTTAATTTCAATCAATTGATGTATTGAAACGATATTATGAACGAGAATGGAGAGGAGGTAGTTGAGGAATGGGAGATTGTGAGAGATATTCTTGGGCACCAAGATCCTTTCATAATTTCGGATCGAAAATTTGTACAGATGTTTAGGTTGACAAAAGCTTTGGTGTTTGGATTGCTGGATATATTGACTCCATTCATACAACCACCTCCACGAGCTTCTACACTTTCGATCAAAACAAAGGAGAGAGTAGACATTAAGTTTTGGTCAGTATCCTTTAATCTATGATTGAATTTTCCCTGGTGCATTTGGGGCTGCTCTCGGAGAAATTCAATCAATCTGTCCTTTTGTTCATTTGTAATGTGCTTTTTTAAGTTTTCGACTCGATAGATAAAATTATAAATCTTTGGTTAGTTTTTGACTGTCAAGATTATCTCCATTTTGATTGATTTACCACGTTTACTCAAACCTGGCAACCCTGTGTCTTGATTTTATTTCTCCTTTCTATCGAGTCCTTTCAAGAATATAGTATTTTCGAATCGATAGTAAACCGGGGGAGTACAAAAAGAGAGGGAGTGTGATTGTCTATTAAAGTCAAGAATAGGGGCACAGGTTCGAAATCTGATGACGCCAAATTTAAAATCAGCTATTCTCATAATATATTAAGCCAATATATTTTTCATGGATTGGACACGGGACAACCCAACACAATAGTCGAAAAAACACATTATTTTTACTTTTTCGTCCGAACTACACCCATTGATATGCATACGTGTACCGATTACATTGATATTGCTATGGACGCAATAAACCAATATATTGAAAAGATCTATTTATCTAAATATGATTCAAATCTCATGAAATATTTAAAACATAAATTTTTGAAAGGTAATATTGGGAAAGATATGTAATATACCAGACATATCTCTGAAAACTAATGTGCTGTGTGGGAGAGGGATAGGAGAGCAAGCAGCAAGCACTATGTTGGTTAAATAAAAAAGTAAAATTAAAACATGTGGTTCGGAGCAACCAAAATCGAAATAAACCATTGTTTTAGTTCTAGGTCATAGTACGTTCTTATCTTGAATATCTTGGACATTTTTTTCTTGTCCACGTCTGACCTTTATATTGTTTATCAGATCAGATTTTGTGACTTTCCATTAAAACATATTGTTTGTATTGCCGTGCTTGGGTATATTAAGTATGGAGAAGTATTTTCGCTATGAAAACCTCTACAAATCGGTGTGTGAAAAAAATGCTTCATAATAAATATGTATAAAATCTTTTTCGAAATTGTTTTGGTGTCTTTCAGGTGCATGAAATGGCCAGGGTTTAACCGAACACGGACACGTGAATACATTTCTACAGAATTAACGAATATCAAAAGACATTGATTGATTAACTCATGAGGGGTTCATCTGAAAAGATATGGGACGATATCCCCATTAATAATTAAATCTAAAAATAAAATGCATGTCATTGACATGCATTTTATTTTTAGTTAGTAACAGCATTGCTGTTTTTAAACAAACTTGAATAAAAATGCATCAATCTATTATAATATAAAAAATACACCGTAATGCAAATTGTGTGTTTCTATGCCATATTATTTAAATGTTTACATGATTGAAAATCAACTACGCAGAAATAGATAAAAGGACAACGACGAGTCAGCAATAGTAGGCAGCTAATGTATATTTTGCTTCATTTTGGTATTTTATACTATAGATACTTTACTAACCGACCATCCGAGATCTAAATTATAGCATTGATTAACGTATTCTATCAATGATTATAGAGAGTTTTTGACTCGATATCAAGTCTTATCTTGAGTAAATTCTTTGTGCTCGACAGAAACTTGATTTAATTCTAAGCAGCATGATCCAAAAAGAGCCAATATGAATAGGCCCAAAAAACATATACAAATAGAATTAGGAATTCCTATATTAACTAAATGCAAGTTTTAAAGTCAAGCCAAGTCAAACTTCACCAGTATTTTCAGTCGAGTCATTTCAAGTTTTTCATTGAGAAAGTTCAAAGTTTTACCTCAAGTTTTCAAACCAATTTCTTTTCATAGGTAATGGTCAGACAAGATATATCAAGAGACTTAACTCTTGTACATTTGAAGACTTTGTTCAAAGAACACGAACTTTCTTCACATGACGTTTCTGAGTTAACATTAGATAACTTTATACATTTCTCAATGGTCTGACAAAATTTCTCAAGAAAAACAATTTATGTAATATTATTATAAAATCCGATGGGTGCTAATCTGCCGTACTAAGCACAAAGGGGATCTGCAATTTCTTGGCACGTTTGGTGAGTAAATCAGTGTCACTTTACAAGCTTTTATTTCCTACTCATTCGAAAAAAAATTTCGCTGTGATAGTTTTCTGAAAATCCTACATTTACGAATCGGTACAAACGGATCAGAGGTTCAATCTTTGGACGCCTTTTTCTTGGTTTCATGTCAGCTGCTGATACCTCCTCTGTGCTTAGTACCTACGGCACGGCACTACGGTAAAGTCTGTGGCGTAGATAATACTGTCTTCCTTACTTTGTGGTGTCGACGCCTACTGGTGTATTTTGAGCATCAAGAGTCTTTGTCGATATTAAGTAGGATATTATTTGTAATATAAATACAAAATTTTACGTCTATCTGATCAGAACTTTATTTATATTATTTTTTTCTCGATTTCGTAAACACTATCTCATTGATAATGCATTGTAGGATCTATGATTATAGGACTCTTTCGTTTTATTGTTAGACATAATTTCTTCGCTGGAAATATTACAACTTTTTTTTATCTTTCAAATTCATTATCATTTTTATCTTTCTCAAAGCAATAAGCATTATTTAAAATAATGGTGAATGGTTAACATATGTATACAGGGAAAACCATATTTGTCTGACGGCTTGAGTTTAATGTGTACGAGAGAGAAGCGCGATAAGTGTGTATGCTAGAAAGAGAAAGAATCCGGCTGGTCAGCGAAGGTCATCACCACATAGTTACACCAGTTACTGTCAAACCCAAGAAGGAGGTCTGTTCGTAGATTAAATTTAATATTTTATTTTCATTTTGATCAGAATTGTTTATTTCAACTTTGATTCAACTTAATGTTTCAATTTCTCTTAGAATTATCTTTGATTTCCACCGATGGTGATAAAATCAATACATCCCGAGTTATTGTAACATTTTGCGTCAGCGCTGTGGTCGGAGAATGTAACAGATAACGTTGCGCAGTACAAATTATCACGGCCTGCGTGTACGCAGGTGAAAGCCATTTCGAAGCAGGACGGAATACGAATACTAGCGGTAGATAGGTACCTACTGACCAAAATCGCTCAACTATGATCATGGAGGTGGACAGTGTGGACACCTTTCCTTGGAATGTACAGGGTGGCCCCAACAAAGAATGCGAGGTACTTGTATCTGGGAACCTATCCATCGTAGAGGCTTGCGGCAAGAATAGTTCTTACTAAAACGTCCAAGAGAAAAATCTGGAAAATATTCCCAAGTTTCTGAAATGGCCGCTTGGGGGCGCAACTGCAATCTTGAATCGAAAAAAGTGATGTTTCTGCGAATTCAGCTATATTAACCCAACAAGAAAATACCTGATCTTTAAAAGTCGAGGATAATGACTTTTTTGTTAGACAATTTTTGCTGTATCTCTAAAAATAAAGTGGTGGGGATATTTAAAGGTTTCCGTAAAAAATACCCTGTATTCAGTTCCACCTTGATTGATGTAATATTTGTTAGTGATGTAGATAGTTAGTTTCACATGTGGCCACTAGGGGGCTTTTTTCGACATTTCGACAGAAATTGTTTAACTAATATGATTTGTTTTATGAAAAAGTAACTAAATGATGTCTAACCAAGCACGCGAAAACCGCATATCGATATTTTGTTCCTAACCTAAAATTTATTTCAAACTAAATTTCCTGGAATTCTTTTTTATTCATCATAATCGCCCTTTTTGAAAATAGTACAAAATATGGCTAAAAGGTAAGTAGGTAAGTAATTCACTATGGGTATACGAAAAAGACAATTATAAGAAGCAGGCCATGGAATACAAAAAAACAAATACCTAATCAAAACATAGATAATCCTAATAATTGTCAATAGTTGTCAAGAGTTTCGCGTTCCTTTGAGCAATTTTTACGAACGATGAGCTGTTGATATGCTTGCAGTTTATTTTGAATGCCTTCAGAATACCGCAGTAGCAAAAAGAGTTTACACGACTCGATATCCAAATCGGCGAGGTGAGAGGGTAATAAGTTGGCCGTTATTGCTATTGATTAGTGAAACGTAATTAGCTGATTAGCTAAATGAATTAAGTACCTAGCTAAATTAGAAATGAAATTCGCTAATCACGATGTCATTTCATATTATCACCAGAATAGACAGGAATTCGAGCGGACATTCCGATTATAGCTTAAGTTCATGTTATTGAGAGTTTGGTGCGGTTGGAGCTGAGTAGACGAGACCGTTAATAAGACCTATATCAATTTATCAGGTGATTTGAGATAAAGATGTAAGGTAACTTATCCATTTTTTATCTTACGCTTAGAAGGCTTCTTAAGATCGGCGCGCACTAAGTTCATTTCTTACTTAGTTGATTTTACACTTAGTTATATACTGAATAATTGAAAGACTGATCAGAAGAATTTTCAGAAGCTATGGCAGACTGGAGATACTCGAATAAAAGTTTTATACTCGGTTGGGATTAAGTGGAGTTAAACTACGTGGCTACGAAATGAAACAACTGAGTTGAGGATCACCCGTTTATTAAGATAAAATTATTATTTAAGAAAAGAAACGGCTGGGTTGTTTAGTTGAGTTACTCTGTCAGCCAAATGAATAACTACGAGGGATGCCTTTTAAGTTTTACATATGGAAATAAAACAACACGGTAGGTAGTTTTAAATGACTTTGTTTTTCGAAGTATTCTCCACGAAGATTAATATACATCTGCATGCGCTCGAACCAATTTTCGAAGCACTTAGATATTCCACTCGTTTGCTGGCAGATCCAAAACGGCATTTTTGAATGCGTCAACTGTTTCTTCTGCTGAGTGGAACCTTTGACCACGCAGTCTGTGTTTAATTTTCGGGAAAGTAAAGAAATCGTTAGGACTTAGATCGGGACTATATGGAGGATGGTCCAATAATTCCACGTTTTCTTCCGTTAAATACTGCCTTGTTTTTTGGGCTGTGTGCGAGCTTGCATTGTCTTGGTGGAGGATGATTCTTCTTTCGGGTTTGATTTTTCGAAGCTCGGTAATGACTTTTAGCAAACAAATGGTGGTATACCAATCCGCAGTAACAGTTCTTTGCTCATTAAGAGGAATTGTTGCAATATGACCCGCTTTTGACACAAATGTCTCGACCATCTTGTTTGAAACACTTCGAGAACGAATGACTTTTGTTGGCTTTTCTTCACCTTGGAACACCCAAACAGCCGACTGTCGTTTATTTTCTGGTTCATAACAGTAAATACACGATTCATCACCACTAACAATGCTGTACACATTTTTTGAGTTTCCGGAATTGAAACGGTCATGCGTTTTTTGACACCAAGTTACCCTGGCTGCTTTCTGCGCTTCAGTCAACAGGTGGGGTATCCAACGAGAAACTAATTTTCTTATTCCTAATTCTTCATGTAAAATTTTTTGAATTGAGATCTTTGAGATCTCGCGATATCTCACATGTCTATCTTCAATGATGAGTTTGCGCACAGCATCGACGTTTTCCTGGGTGACTGCCGTTTTTGATGCACCCACCCTGGGATCGTCGCTAAGACTCACCCGTCCACGTTTGAGTTCTCCATACCAACAGGAAATTGTCGACTGATGTGGCACTTCGTTACCGAAAACAGACAGTAACTCAGCACGGCATTCTTGTTGCGATAATTGTCTCTGAAGGTTGTAATAAATTATGGCGCGAAAATGTTCTCGGTTGAGTTCCATTTTTCTAATCACCTGGTGACACTTCAAAATTCACTGTAGTGAGAACACTGCACGTATTGTTGTGAAACTTTGAATTTAAGTTTACTAAAGAGTGAGGTTAAGATTCAGTACTGACGTTCGATCCGCGCGGCCTACTATGTTTCTACAGGGTGACTTCGAAGTTGAGTCATTTATTTTAACAGTGAGTAGATCTGATCAAAAGAAATGTTTTTTTCCTTTACCATTTTTCTGGTAAAATTAAAGTAACAAAGTTATAGCCCTTTGGAAGTTTGAGTACCGCCCTGTCTCAATAATAATATCATGTACTCGTGTTTGGCAACAACGGATATAATCCACCTTATCGGTTCATCGCATCGGAAACAAAAAAGCGAAAGAATTTGGAACGATGTTTTTATTTCATTCAGTACAGTTATACATACAGTCAGTGTCAGTCGCGTGTGAATAGTGTCTGTTGCATGGCTCAAACGAAATAAAAAATGGCACATGTTTATTCGGATCGGTTTCCCAATCGAGTGCAACCAACCCCTCGTGCCTTTGTTAATGTAGTACAACGGGCTCGTGAATCAGGTGACTTAAGACACCACAGAGCGTGATGATCAGCATTTCGGGCATTGATAGTTATTTACCTAACAAGTGCGGAAAGTGATACTTTTCCGGACGCGACGGCCGTCAACGGCACTTATTACGGGGGGATTAAAAACTACTCTTTTTTAAATCGTTCCTGTTTAGGGCCACAACTTAATAATAAAAAGAATCTCCAGAAAAATTAGTTTAAAAAATAAAAATTTTTTGGCCTAAATTTTAGGTTAGGAACAAGATATCGATATGCGGTTTTCGCGAGCTCGTTTAGACATCATTTAGCTACTTTTTCATAAATATATATACATATATCATATAGATAGCAATGCATTTAATTTTTTTGAGAAAACTAACCATTTCTGTCGGAATGTGAAAAAAGCCCTGTAGTGGCCACATGTTGAACTAACAAAACTTCAAATATTATAAAATTTGTAGTCCAAGAATAGCTCTTTTCAACTAGCCCAAGTTTGTGAAAATGGGTTCGGGCGTTTCGAAGATACAGGGCTTTTTTCCGGACACCTTTGAATACCCTCCTCCCCCCCACCACTTCATTTTTAGAGATACAACAACAATTGACAAACAAAAAAGGTTCAGATTGCCATCAAAGGAAGTGCATTGATAAGGACCAGTTTTCGCCCATAAAACACTCAAAAATAAAAAGTTCGATTCCAGACTATAATTGAATTTATTTGTAAACCTCAAGACGTGTATTTTTTCATTATATAATATTTACGATATAAATAATGTAATATGCTTCAGAAATTATTGCCAAGAAATAGATTTGGGATAGAGATTATATTTTACTGATACGGTATTCAACATAGAGTAAAGGACAAAAATATTATATCTTACTAACATAACAAACTTATTTTAAATTTTTGGTACATATATTAAATTCAAATTAACAGTATTCAGTCCATGAAACCCGAATCCATGATTCTAAGTTTTCGATAACAAGGGATTGCTTCGATTGCTGCTCAGTGTTGTGAGTTTGCTCGCTTTCATCGGATTTTGGAATGTCTACGTCGTTCTCATCCAGCCATTCAACATCATGGTGTTCTAAATTTTGAATAATGCACATCAGTTCATTATCACGACCAGCAGCGACTCTTACAGGTCTAACTTTCCTATCAGTGTGCGTGTTTATTTTTTTATGGATATTTTCGATGTGACGATTTAGTGACTTGACGGAAGCATGATAAATACCACACGTTTTGCATGTTCGACTTGATAGCCTCAATTTTACCGTCGGCCAAAAATAATCGTAGGGCAGTTGCAGGAAATCTTTGAGTGAAGCACTTAAGCGTAGAGCTAAATTGACTGGAAGATTAAGAAATTGCTCTCCTTCATCCAAAACCAAGTCATCAACTGTTTGTTTTACTTTTACAGGTGGTGGAAGAAACCTATTATCTAGTAATCTAAATAGGCCACTTCTTGGACGACAGCATTCTGCATTTCTACATTTTACAATTTGAAGCAAGTATTGGCTCTCACGCACATGTTCTGAATACCATGTAATGTCTGGAAAATCAGGAAGATCTTGTTGACCTGCCCCAACATATTTTGCATTAACATTATAGCCATCAATTTCCATTGAACTCCATACTTCAACTAATACATTTCCTGCAAATTCAAAATTAGATCTTTCTAAATGTTCATCAATTGTAACGCAACGTTCATCCAAATGCGACCCAAGATGGTCATGAGGCAATATTAAACCAGCCAGTTCCCGACTAAGAGGAGCCATTCTGCGCTCTACTCTGTTATACGCACTTCTTCCAGGAGCATTGGTAGCTAAAAACAATGCATCGAGATCATGTCGCTTAAAGTGTTGTATAGCAAACCCTATAACTTTTTGATAACGTGGATTTTCATCTGACTCTCCATCAACCGTCATGATTACCACTGCTTTTACTAGTCCATGGTCAGTTTTAGCTAATGGTCGAAACTCTTCAAGTTCGAGAAGCGTCTCGAAATCCTGAGCATGAGTATCATCAGTAGATGAACTATGCTTTCCACTTCGAATAGCGATGTATGTTGGTCCAGAATATCCAACGGCTTGCGGTTGTCCTGGCATATTGGAAGTGATTTTGATACCATCGTGATCATTCAATTTGATTCTAAATATATTCCATGTGCATTAGAAGAGGTGCTTGCTTCTTTGCCGCAGTTATGCCAATAGGGACTCGAGCTTTATCATCTTGAGATATGAAAAATACTTGATCTGGTCCAAGTATGGATGCTATGTTCTCTAAATAATGGATTGACGTTTCAGCGAATTTGCTAAGTGGCTCTTGTGGTGATCAGTTTGAGCCCGAATGAGCTTAACAGGGACTGTCGATACATGTCTTCGTCCCTCTGCAGAATTAGATTTTCTGGGAATCAAATGAAGATATGTCCCGCTGCGACTAATGTCAAATCCTATTTTACGTAATACTTGTGTGAGTTCATCAAGAGTTTTTAAGCTGCGAATTGATTCCGTTCGTCTTCTATCATCTGCTGCACTCCCAAATAAAGCGATTGTTTTCAATAGTGAATGTTGATTGCTTTCAAGATTAGGTCGTCCCACTGAATCCCTCAGAGATAGTCTTTTTTTTTATTTCTGGATTTTCATGACAAATATATTCTAACTTTCTTTTCATACCATCCCTGTGTTTCTTCTGGGCAACATCTGTTTATCAACTTCAGCACGGCTTGGCATAGTATCTCTGGCAGAATACAAAGCATTCAGATTTTTTTCGAGTAGAGCAATCTTATTTTCCATAGCTTCCTGAGAAGGTTTTTCTCTCTGTTTATCTGTATTTTCATTAATTTCGCATTGCTGTTGTGATTCATTACCGGGTTTTATTTTATCTTCTTCCTCTTTTTTAATATTTGAAGCTGACTGTATAATTTGTGTTTTTTCTGCAGGTTTACAGGTTGCCTAAAAATAAAAACTTTCTATGCCTTCTGCTAAAGATTCTCTTATTAAGCTACATAAATACAAAGTATGGCAATATATATGGTAAATAATTACAAAACCCTATGGCTTTAAATCTAATATGTTTAAATCATGCAATTCGTTCCGGTCACAAAATACAGGGTGTTAGTTTTCTGTATATATGTATAAAACTAACATTCTGTACTTTGTGACCAATTGACGGAATCAGTCATAAGAAATAAATCTATAATATAATGAATATTACCTCTATACTTTGAGATAGGCCATATTTTCTAATCAGTAAAGAGAAACTTTTTTGCGATTTCTAATACATATTTCTAGTACTCATAGGTACCTGAAATGATTTCGTCACTCACCTTAGAAAAAATTTTTAGTAGATTTGATTTATTCTTAGTCGCCGCTTGCAATTCTTCTTCGATTCTCTTAGATACAATAATAACTAGTTCCTTGTCGGATTTTGCTTGTTATTTATAATTTCGCCACACTTCGTTAACTAACTTTTGTACATTTTGTACTTTCGTACTTGTATGAGATTTTTTAAAACATTCAAACAATTTTTGGTATAACTTGGATTTGTCTATGTGAAACGACATCTGATTTAAACATTAAACTTTGGCTAATGGAATCAATGGTAACACGAATGTTAACTTGCTTTACTATGCTTACAAGACGTCTACTCGCTATAGTATCCAAACGAAGCAATACACTGGTAGAGGAAATTTAGACAAGCGAGTGGGGGAATTACCGCGCGCTGTTCACTAAACGTATGCATTATTTGCGGGAATCCCCGAAAATGCGTTTCGTTTTCAAGCAAAGACAATGTGTTGCCATTCGTGTAAAAAAGTAAATAACTACCGATGACGTAATCATCATCTAAACTACCCTACTCCCCATGTCATCCAAAATAAACAAAGCAAAGACCCCCCGCGCCCCCTCATAGTGCTCACGTAGTACTTGAACGGCCCCTAAGACCAAGATATCGAGATGCGGTTTTCGCGAGCTTGTTTGGACATCATTTAGCTACTCTTGCATAAAAAAAATCATACCAATGCATTTATTTTTTTTTTCAGAAAATTAATCATTTCATTCGGATGTCGAAGAAAGAATATTATAACATTTGTAGCTCAAGAATAGCTCTTTTCAACTAGCCCGAGTTTTTGTAAAATCAGCTCAGCCGTTTTTTACGGAAACCTTCGAATATCCCCCACCACTTTATTTTTAGAGATACAGCAAAAATTGTCAAACAAAAAAGGTACAGATTATCCTCGAATTTAAATTCGGATACTTTTTTCTTAGGTTAATATAGCGGAGATCTCAGAAACATCACTTTTTTAGATTTAAGATTGCAGTTACGCTCCCTAGCGGCCATTTCAGAAACTTGAAAATATTTTCCAGTTTTTTCTCTTGGCCGTTTTAATAATAACTGTTTTTGCCGCAAGCAAGATTGATAATAGGTTCCCAGATACAGTACCTCGCATTCTCAGTTGGCCACCCTGTACAAGATGCGATGTTGTCAAACAAACCAATGACGCAATGTGTCAGAATTTGTGGCGATCCTGACCTTTCATTTAATTGACGATGAGCTTCGCTATCCAGACGGCTTTTATCTCTTTCTAACATACGTGCCTATACACAGTACACACTTTTCTCTCGTACAGACTGAACTCAAGCCGTCAGACAAATTTAGGTTTCACTGTATGAACAATCTTTGATAATAAAAGCTGAACTACAAAAACTAATTTTTCCAAGAAGTGGACCAGTCAGTTGGTGGCCCAGCAGGCAAAGCAATGCACACAGTCCAACATGCCAAGGGCTTCTCAAGAAAGTTAAAGAGAAGGCTTACTCAAAGGACAATCGCTGAAGTGAAGGCTTTGAAACAACACAGCGCCGAAGCTGTGCATGTTCTTATTTACGTCGCAGAATTGGTAAGAAACTTTTTTCGATGAAAATGTACACGTTTTCTCATCGTAAATATTGTTTATTCCATTTTTGTATTATTGGAATTAGACATAAAAGTAATGAAAAACCTGAATTAATTAAACGAAGAATTTTAAGATAAAATTCTAAATCACTTCAGTATCTACACTCATCAATTTATATGCAGGTAATTCAGAATCCATTCCAAGCACCTCGAATTTCTTGAAAGAATGTGTCTACAAAAGCTTCAGAAGATCGGGAAAAAGATTCATCAATGAGCTCATTCATCAAACACCTAATGATTTCTGACTTTATTTGTTGACCAAGTTTGTAAACGGGTCAAAACTAAAATTCCACGACCTGGGTAGGCGGGTCATGTCTCAGATCTGGCTCAATTTTTTTCTGGATGGCACCTATGGAGGCATGAAGCTTTGTCAAATTTCGGGGTTGGTCTGGAGACGCGCTCAAAGTTTGAGAATTCGGAATAATGTAAATTTTAGTACTTTGGCAACTTTTCCATTTCCTCGCTTCTCATATCCCTGGAAAGTATTAGACCCCATAATATATTACTATTGCAAAGTGAAATTATCCAAGGAATTCAAAATCGACCTCCAAATAGATATCTGATAATTTGTTCAGCAGATGTTGCAGAACTTACTTTGCTTACTTTGTCCGCAAATCCAAGTCTGTTAGCCCAGTAACGGGCTAGTCCAATGCTTCTTGCTTGTTGTTGATCCATAAATCGCCAGAAGATGAAGTGGCAAGATAATTTGGGCAGGCCAGTAGGTGTTCCATATTTTATATGTCACCCGCACTCGCACGTAGTAGTATCCTTTCATGTCTGATACTTATTTTATTTGGTTTAATTGTTACTCGGAGTCATCACCACTGGTCATCTCTGGGATGAGAGGGACAGTTGACAAGTGACTTTTCGTGAAAGTAATGCGCCTTTCTACAATAGATTTTCGGACAGGAAAAGCCGGCAGTGGGCTTGTCGGTTTTGGGTGTTTCATGAATTCTTTATTAAACTGCGTTTCATGAGGCATATCAATTTTGGCGTGGTTGTCTGAACGACTGGACATAGTATGTTTCTAGCAGCTTCTGGTGCTTTTTAACAGTGATATCTGTATGTAAATTATGTAACTAGTGTGACGCCTAGATAGGTTGGAGTTGAATACCATTCGAGCTAACATAACATCTTATTTGCCTGGCGAGCATAAAGGTGGAAGGCACTAACTGGTATCTTGGAGGAATTTGATTTGGGTGAGTTCTTTTAGTAGTCCAACAGAGTACCAAGAGCAAGTACTAATTCATTTTCTACTTCTTCAAAGAAAACATTTGGTATACTCTGCTTTTATTTGGTTGTTATTGTATAGGTTAAAAAGAGTGGGAGCAAGGACGCTATCTTGAGCTAAGCCATTATTTTGCCTCCTCCATCGACTTTTTCGTCCTGCCAGCATAACATAGGATCCTCTCGAAATAAGACTGCACAAAGTGCCATCTATTACCAGAACCGACTACTGCGATACCGAAACAGCTTGAGCTCTCTTATTTCGATAGACCTTATATCTTGGATAAAGGATAGTTGCTCAGATTTCGTTCGTTGTTCTACTTCATACCAATCCTAGACCTGATAAGTTGTCAAACGCACGAAACAGCTGTCCATGGTTTACTATCTGATAGTCTTTAAGTGTGTCATAAAGTTTTGTGTTCAACTAGTTAACTGTATCATAGGCAGAGCTTAGGTCAACCAGCGCTAGCCCTGTTATTAGTTTGTTTTCGTACTCCTCTTTCATACCCCAGACGAAATACAGCCAAAAATATTGCAAGTTTTCAAAAATGCCCACACTAAAAATTGGTACACACCTTAAATATAACGTAATGTATCAAAACTCCTCATATATTCTTGGAGCAGAACTTTGTTTTATATGGGTTGAAATGTCAAAAATATTACGTTTTGTGATATTTCTCTAAAAGGGAAAAAATACCTTATACAAAAATTGTACAGTATACAATTATCTAGAAAAGTTGTCCAAGCAGTTTTATACATATACAGGGTGTTTCAAATTCGACCCTCACCATTGGGATGTCGGAAACTGTAAGAGATACCGAGTCGCTTAAACGCTGGCAAAATTGCGTATTTAGGTAATCAACAAAATGCCGCTTAGAAAGTTTCGAAATTCAAAGTACTTCCGGGGAGAGACGGAAAAAAGTGAATTTTTCCAAAGTCGCTTTATTTTTTTTTTACTTTATTTGTAGTGGGACTTCAAAATAACTTTCACATTAACATTGCCTCTTTTTCTCAAGATGGCATAATTAGAATTTCAATATGACGTTTCGTCTCTTATCCTCCAGCATCAACTTTATTTTTTCTTATAGTCGCCATATTTGATTTTTGCACAGAGGGATAGCGTTTTTAATTCTGATTCCAAAAATGTAATGTTGCTATCAAAGATAGTAGTTCGTATATGAATTCACGAAGTAACTAGCCATTTTACGAACATTATTTCTGTTGTAGTTTCGGGAGATCAAAATTTGTCTACACCCCCAAAAATGGCCTCGTTTTCAAATAGCAACCGAGCAAGTTACAAGAAATAGTAACAAACTATTTTTAACAACAAATTCACGAATGCTCTGATATATTTTAATTTATGATCTCTGACATTACAAACAAAACGCGTACTCGACAAGTTTTCTGGGCTTTTCAGACGTTACAAGTTGACTTACTAATTTGATGACTTATGTCCGTCTGTTGCCATGTTTTAGGGACGTTCGGGCAGTTTTCAAACGATACAGCCTCAACCCATGTATACTCGTATATAAGAAAATGAAAATGCATTCTAATGTAGAATCTCGAACTAATATAATGACAAATTTGAATTTACAGGATCTACCTCTGACTTGACTGACTTCTTAAGTAGGTCATATTTGAGCTGATTGATAATTTCTCTTTTGATCGTCTGAAACTTTATTGAAATCCTATTCCACGGAAATGTGCGGTTTACATATTTTCGACGTATTCAGATATTTCCTTCATTTTCTCCAAAGATTGTGTTACATATCTTTTTTTTATTATTCAGGTTGCGACAGACCCCATCCTCGCATTCCAGAAAGGCAAAGAATTGTGGGCGAGTCTGAGTAAAGACGAGCCAGAAAACCAAACTCGTCCTGAGAATCTGGAGCAGCTGGTCGTTTTGCTGACCAGAGAATCCGCTAGACGCATGGTACACCTCATCAACTTCTCCTGCACTGTGTTGAGCACAATTCCCAAAACCATGTCTCACTCCCTCTCCATCGTCATGAGCAGCTTACTACAACTCACCGACTCTATGATCAAGGCAAGTCTATTGCTTGAAAACTAACTATTTGTATCGAGCTAGCGTAGCATTTTTAACCCCAACCACAGCTTAGACAACAATCAGCTATGAGACCCTGCTGTCACTGTCATAAACGACCGCCATTTCGGTAGAGAAAGTCGAATGTAAGTTCATTCACTACAAAGATCAAAGAGGTTTTAGTGCTCAGCAACACGAACTCCGCCAGTGGCCGCAGATATTATTTGCAATCGTAAAAATTATACTACATAATCCGATATGACCTCATGTAGTTTGTGTGGACCAATAATAAAAATGAGTTTGTCCAAAAAGAAGCGACTATTTATTTATGAAATTTTTTTAAAATAAACTCGTTTTGGTGGAAGTATTTACAATAAAGAGAAAAATGGCTACCTTTTCCAAGCATTCTTTGCTGCTATGATATTCTCAATTCGTTCCATTTTCAATTCAAACACTGATAAAACACCGCAATCAAACCTAATACTTCTCACGACTCCCCAGCTTGTATGCTATCTTGAAAAGAGACATTTCGTAGGTTTTTGGTGACATAACGAAGGTTTTTCTGCAAAGTATTAACTTAGCACATGTTGTGAACTCGTTTTGTAGCTGTACGATGTCAGCGATCATAGCGAGTAAACGTGGGATTAACAATTTGCACACTAAAAACTACCTGGTCTGCAAGACGACATTTCGTCGTTATTTTTTTTTTGTAGTCTTTTACATAATACCCCTGCCGATATTTTAAGTACCTAGAAAAGTCAATTATAAAAATTGTAGGCAACTATACGCTCTTTACTTGAAAAATAAGCTGCTCTCCACAATTTTTCCTTCATTATTACATAACACTTCTTTAATTGAGTTTGTTTAGAACGAAAAATATTTGTGCAAAATTGTTTAGTCTTAAGGCGAGAATACACATGCTTGTTACACGCACAGAAGCATGCCAGTTACTGGATTGTGTGTGCTATGTGCTACTTGCATGTGTGACTTTCTTTGCCAGCAAGAAAGCACGCTAGAAGATAGCACGCCAGTAGATCTCAAGACGTTTGATTTTTGTGTGCCAGTAGCAGGATTTCGTCGAGGGAATGGAGGGGAGGAAACATGCGAGTCATGTTCAAAGGTGTGTGAACGACATCGTTACCAGAAACTCGCCTGTGAAAAACGGATTCTTGAACTATAGAACTATTTGTTTAGTTCCGGGCAAAATGGCTCGTTGGGGAGACGAAAAGACTTTATTGTCTGTTATGCAGTATAGGGAGTATCGGTGTTTATGGAATACATTATCTCCATTGTATAAAAATAAAATCGCTAGAGACAATGCTTACAAGTCTTTATTGAAGCAAATGACTGAAAACAATTTAACATTGAAATTTATGAAAAATAAGATAAAAAACCTAAGAACAACCTACCACCAAGAGTTAAAGAAGATAAAGGAAAGTTTTCACAGACTGGCATATCCAAAACTAGCATGTGTATTTTGGGATGTCGTAGGACAAGTAGTTAGCATACAAGTTACTGGCCACTGGCATGCTATTTTACTGGCATGTGTATTCTCGCCTTTACTGATTATATTATATATTATATCTCTCATTTAAATGTTCATGTGCTCTCGTTTATTCCGCTACAAAGACACCAAAATTATTGTGATTGAGTGACGGTTGTCCGTTTATTATAAATACTTCCACCATTACAAATATATTTTCAAGCTTTTTCATAAATGAATATTCATCTGTCGCTTTTTTTCGACAAACATACTCCTTTTTATTATAGATTCACACAAGCTACACTAGATCATATAGGAATAATATCATTTTAGGATTGCAAATATTTGCGGCCGCTGGCATGATACGTGGCAACACCGGTTTGCTGCTGAACACTAAGGGCCGTTAGTCGTTCCCACAATTGTATGTTATGGCCTCCTTGATTTTCATAGTTTTCTACTTTTTCGTGTCAGCTCTCTATTTTGAGGTTATGTCACAAATATCTATTTGCATCAAATTAATTCATGCTTTTGATTTATATAATGTTTTATCAGCCTTAAATTTCATACAATTCAGAAAGAAAGCATAACTTCAAACAGGAGACCGCTGACGCTGACAGAACAGGTGCAATCTAGAAATGTTTAAAGGAGAGAAAAGACTATGACAATCAAGGCCATAAAGATGTCCTACAATAAATTGTAGGAACGACTGACGATATGGCCCAAAAACCTCTTTCATCGTTGTACTAGGAGAATGCACATGCGATTTTCTCCACCGAAAAAGCGGCCGTTTTTGACACTGACAGGAGAGTATCATAGCTGATTGTTATCTAAGCTGTGCTTTAACTATGGACACACGCGGTGGCGTACTAGTATATAAGGCGCTGTGACTTTGTGTACAGGTATTCCAACTCGGATATGGTAGCCTCGAACAGTTTAAGCCTGTTTTTAAAGCTTTAGTGACTTCATATCGTATAGAGATATACAGTGCTTTTCAAAAAGGCCCCTCACTTATTTTTCGGACGGGTCAAGGCAGCAAGTTAATATTTCAAGATGACAGCTAAGCGTAATTTTTGAACATTTTTTCAAATCGGATGGGGGCTGTTAACTCATTTTGAAGCTCTTTATGAGTACTTTATAACTCTAGAATATGAAATCACCATCTTTAAAAATGGCGAACTGGCAGGCTGTCAAATTTGAACATTTTTGTACATTGAGTCGCTTATAACCCAACAACCAATCATCAAAACTATACAATACAGTCAATTTTCTTCCGTTACGAGAGTATCCGAATATGCAATAAAATATAATAAATTCCACTTAAAAAATTGTTAATTTTTTAAATCCGAGTGACCTATATTTTGGTGGACATTCAGATAAACCATTCCATTTTGATGATTAGTTGTCGAGTTATATTCGATCAAAATACAAAAACGTTGAAGTTTGAGAGCCTGTCAGTCCGCCATTTTGTACGATAGTTATTTTATATTCTACGGTTATACTCATTAAGACCTTCAAAATAAGGTACCCATTCCATTTAAAGAATGTTACAATATGGTGCCCAGCCGTCATCTTAAAATTCCCAGCTGTTATTTTCATGTTTAAATATTCATCCTTGCGTCAATTTCACAACTCTGCATTTTAGCTTGCTAACTTGTCCCGTTTAAAAAATAATTGGAGGGACCTTTCTGGAAAGCACTGTACATATATATTTTGGATTGGTCATAAAATACTCGTGTGTGGGAAGAAACGTACCTTACTTCAGAACAGGAAAATAAGTCTTTCGAGTTTTTCCTAGTGAGATCCATCTATATTTTTAATCAACGTGCACCTCAAACATATTGAGGAATACAATAAAGCATGTTCCCGCTGCAAAAGTGGAACTTTTGAAAATAATGTTTTCTGCACTATTTGTCGAAATTGCATCATCTGAAGAAGTCTAAAAATATCCATAAAACTTGTATTGCTTTCGCTTTACAGATAGTTGCCAGTCTTTTAGGGGCAAAATGACATTCCTTTCACAATAGTCTGCTACTCATTTTAAAAGCGAAATTTTGAAAATAAAACTAAAATGTAATCCTTACGAACGTTCTCTAATCGGATATTTAATTTTTTACGTTATGACCATTTACCAATTTGAAAACATCATCATGAAAGTCATCGCCATGAGTTTTTGACCTCCTTCGAAAACCCACTCCCCAACTCAGGTTCTATACACGCTACTGGACGCGGGATTTCACAGAGAGCTCACAGTTTGTAATTTTCGTATTTTACTGATACCTTAAAATATCAAATTGGTTCAAATGTGTAAGGAAAATATATATATAACTTGAGACGTGGTCATTGTCGTCTAGACCAGTTAGGTGAAAAATTATTATATATATATATATATATATATATATATATTTATATATATATATATTTATATATATATATATATATTACTTCGAAGTACCCAACAAAAGGCGGAAGCTTTAATGTTTCACCTAACTGGTCTAGACGACAATGACCACGTCTCAAGTTACATCCACAGATTTGGGGTTTTTCAATAACATCACAGAACGTCATGGGAACCAGGCAGTAAGAATGATGAAGGACTAGATCAAGGGCAGAAAACGACTGGCACAGGAGATCAATTGTCGAAGTACCAAACAAAAGGCGGAAGCTTTAATTTTTCACCTATATATATATATACTTTGAAGTTGAGTCATTAATTTTCAGATAATGATTGTAGAAGGAAGATAAACCAAAATATGTGTGTAAAAATAAAAAAAAAATTACAAAAAAATTTTACCTTGTTTTATAAAGTATCCTCCCGACAAGTATTTCAGTGCGGACCTGTATTTGATCGTGAGGTCTTGGAGCACCGGCATGCCGTCCCCTGTGAGGTCTTAAGTCAAATGATTCACGAACCCGTTGTACTACATTAACAAAGGCACGAGGGGTTGGTTGCACTCGATTGGGAAACCGATCCGCATAAACATGTGCCATTTTTTATTTCGTTTGAGCCACGCAACAGACACCACTATCCACTACCGACTGACACTGGCTGTATACAACTGAATGAAATAATTGTAAAAACATCGTTCCAAATTCTTTCGCTTTTTTGTTTCCGATGCGATGAACCGATAAGGCGAATTATATCCGTTGTCGCCAAACACGAGCACATAATATTATTATTGAGACAGGGCGGTACTCAAACTTCCAAAGGGCTATAACTTTGTTACTTTAATTTTACCAGAAAAATGGTAAAGGAAAAAAACATTTCTTTTGATCAGATCTACTCACTGTTAAAATAAATGACTCAACTTCGAAGTCTATATATATATATATAAGTTTGAAGACATATAAAATATTTAAATCTCTAGAATATCATAGAATTGATAATCATAAAAAATCATGAGAACTTCGTTATAAATTTGACCGCATCAAAAACTAAGTTCTTTTTGTTCAGAATGCCCTAAAAGATCTAAGCATACTTTGACCGGGGAGAAAATACATTTTTTGGTATTTGTTTAAAAAAAATAACGCAGTTTTGGGCCTGGCAAGACACAGATTCATTAGAAGGGGCCCTTTCTGGATAAGAAGATATCCAAATCAGAATATTTTCCCGGGTAGATGCGAAGATACTACCTGGATTAGATACAAAATTGCGAAGCTGTTGCCAAGCCCTAGCAACGAAAATCTTAGGCATCTACTTCCAAAGCAAGTTGATAAAAAAGTTCTCTGGAACCGTATTTTTGTGGGATTCATTTAAAACATTGCCATCTATCCATTTACTTTTCGGATCATATGCAGCTTCCAAACTTGTGTAGAATTTTATATTATCCAAGGCTACGTTAAATTATTGAGAAAGTTGCTTTTCCAAAAAAAACTATTGCATAATATAGATTTAGTTACCTTCACTTGTCTAGGCTGCTAATGTATTTTTTAATTTTTGCAAACAAGCCTAGCATAAAATATACTTGAGACCTAACAGAACCAAAGATTTTATGCCATTGCTTGGTGATTGAATACTAACGTGTTGAATCTATTTCCTATTTTCTCAGACAGCCCACATGGAGAACGTCCAAAACAGTGTGGTGAAGGTATTAAGGATCCAGGGCAGATATCTAGCATTGGTGCTCAAAGAAGCTAACCAAAAGGTCAACGAATATTTGGTGAGTATACCTTGTAGACTTTGGTTCTGTCAGTGTAAAGTCAAAATGTAGTCAAACTTCTTATATCCAGTAGGATATTTGACCGGAATCGGTAAAACACCAGTATGATCTGTTGAGGCATTGGCACTGGCTTTGTTCATTTGAACCGAGTACTATTCGAGCAATTACTGAAATTTTCATTACTACGTATTCGGGGATATGTCTATTTATTGTGTAGTGATGTCAATGTTAGTGATCGATCTAGTAGCACTGAGTTCCGATGCACGCAACCAGTGCTGATTGCAACTACATTTTGGATATCAATCAAGATCAAGAATATACTTAATAGTTTTGTAAAGGAAAAGTCGTCAGTAAGGTCAGAGAAAAGTTAATAAAACAACATTCATTGAGTTAGGAAATTTGTGATTCTTGAATACTAGATCTGGCGTTCTATGCATTTAAACAAACAATATATTATTTAAACGGATCTTATGTTACAACTCAAATTAATGTTAGTGTTCTACAGCAAACTATAAATGATTCCACATCCCGGACGAGTCATTAATAAAGGACGCCGGATGTATTTTAGCAACCACTCAACCTAGAGCTGTAGCCTATTTTTTTTTACAAAAGTAGCAAAGAAGAATTGCTGATAATTATTTTCAGCTTCCTAAAATGGCCGCTAGGGGGTGTAAAACTAACCTCAAAAATAGAAATGCCGTTTTTTCGCTAATATATGTATACCCTATTTCACGAGCATCCATCACGGGAGTTATATCTCAAAATTCCCTATATCGGCACAGGACACATAATTCTGAACTAGGGTATAATTACGATATATTTTTTGTTTACATCATTCTTTCGTAACTCAAAGCTTGAATATGTCATATTCAATAAATAATCGACGTAACCAAGTGGAAATCTTCCATCGACTGAACGATAAGCGCCCATCCGAATTTCAAAAAATAAAAAATATTCTAAACAAATTATTTTTGATTTTTTTACGTACTGAAGCCAGACTATTCTCGACGTATTCTGTAGCTTACTAAAATTGGCGCAAAACTTTAATTTTGCACCTTTAGGTAAGAATTACGCCCTCTAGCACTTATGGTTAAAGCATAAAATAACTTTAAGCTATAACATACTGAAAAGGTATTTGAATAATTCATTTGATACAACTATCATAGCTTCAGCATATTGCCTATACCAGCTAAACATGAAATTTTTTAATAAGCTTAGTCGATAAAACCAATACAAAAATTATACCTCTTTCTTGCCAATGACCTCAACCTTTTCCTCTCCCTGAAACAGTAGTTACGAAAAAATGATATTAACAAAAATACTATTACTAGAATACTACCCAAACATAGATATATGTTATGCATGTTTGCACAAAAAACACTTCTACTTTTGAGGTTGGTGTTAGCAGCCACTTTTTAGACAGCTGAAAATAATTTCCACCAATTTCTCTTGGCCAGTTTTGTTAATTTTCTTATCGATAGGTTGATTGGTTACCCACGTCTCATATTGAAAGCCCATACGTAGATCAGGAAAAATGACTCTTTATTCCCTTTAGTCACTCAAAAGTCGGTTGATACCTATAATATATCACAAGTTTTTCTTACTTAGTAAGTAATAGTAACAAATAATAGCTTTTAACGAAGAAACCATCGAACTAGTTCTGAACGTTCTCTGTTCCAAGAACTTCCGGACTGATTCCAAACCAGTTCTGAACTGGTTCTAACAGTTCTGGTTCCAGAATTAGTTGAAATCTATGTTAAATATAAAATTAAGTTTGCTAAAAGCACTTTATATGTTACATATGTTTCAAATTCGAACCTCGCCTGTGAGATCTCGGAAACTGTAAAACGAATGTCACACGATCAGTCCGTACCACCAGTGGAATTCTGCGTAACATTATGCATCCATAATTACTGATGTCTAGGCTAAACGGTCCACATCTCAAGTCAAATATATTGAAGGATCACAGTAAATACTGTGACATTCGTCTTAACGATACGAGTACTTTATGAGGGCAAGTTGGTTAGGTAAATAAAAAATGGAACTTCAACAGCTTGGAAATTATTATTTAGTAGTATTTCCGAATTTATTCTCGCTTTTATTTTTTCTGGCTTTAGTCCGAAACAAAACTTTTCAAACATTCACATTGCCTAAAAATTTCAAACAAATTACACAATAATATTGCCACTTTTTCACTTCTACATATTGACATACTTAAAATTTCGATCTGACGTTTCAGCTCTGTTTTTGAAAATTATACCATTTTCGATGTCTTCAAAATTACCCTTAATTATCCTCATTCGATGAGATTTAACCAACTATATGAAGTTTTAGGTACCTACTTAAAGTTCTATATCAACGCGTAACATGTTGTCATCTTTGATATTTTATGAAATAAATGACTTTATAATAATTTCAAGGCTTACTCAAAAAACATTTTTATAAAAATGTATGACGCTATTATATTTAAGATCAGAATTAAGAGCTATTGGCCTATGCAAAAATGGCATACATAAAAAAATCAAAGTTGAGATGGGTGATAAAGAGGCAAAAGATCATATTAATGTTCTATTTATGCCACCTTGCAAAGATCAAAAAGTGGTAATGTCAGTGTGCAGTTTATTTTGAAATCCTATCTCATATAAATAAAAAAAAAAGTAGAAACGATTTTGTGTATCTCTAGAGATACTAAAAGCTTCAACACTTTTCAAATGCATTTTCTAAAATATATAGAAATGAAAATTATCCAGTCAAGTGTTGATAATTTTAATAAATGCATTTCAATCATTCTATTAGTAGTATTAATCTTATATATTCCTTTCATTTCAAGTCAATGTACAGCTTAGTGTTGTTAACAATCTACTTAATTTCCTATTCTGCTACTGTTCGGAACTGCTTTTTGGAACAAACCTAATAACTTATATATTTGTCTCAGGAGCACGTTGCAAACAATCTCGATATCACCGAAAAACCCAAAACTGCCCTTTCTGTGCCAAAGATCAAAGTGCAACCAATAAAGGCAACTCAACACAGAAACAACAGCAGCAACTCCAACAACAGCAATTCTGTCACCAGCAACTCTACCAGCGCACCTCTAAAAACGAATGGAGTGGAATCAAACAGCAGTTCATAATAAGATTGATACGCGTAATTTAACGTTTTAGATTTACGTTTAACAATAGTTACTCTTATATTTATGCTAAAGTGTGAAATGATGCTAGTTTATCTTGTGTATATTTACCGTTTTACAAGTTGCTTACTTTATACAAACAACAAAACGTTTGATAACACTCATATCTTTTGTTTTTATATTTTAAAAAGTGTAGAAATTAAGGAGATAATTGTTTAGTACAAGATTAATTCAAAAAGTTTATTGATAGCAACAATCTGTTGTTTTATCTTTCTGTTTATGATTTTTATGATTCAAGCAAAAACTTTATAGCCATATATATTTGAGGATTTTTTCTAAAAAACAATGTTAATTTTTCCCAATAAAAAAATTACATTTGATAAACATACATTCTTAAGCATTACAATAATAATCTGTACTTTTTTATTGTTAGCATTTTACATATTCTTATATACGTTGTCGATTATTGCAAAGCACATTTTCTATGAGCAATTTTTATACAAATTGTTATGCTGGCATATATGATTGATTATATTTTAAGCTAAAATATTTTTGAGCTCAAACCTTTATCATTTACTATAATATATGTGTTTTACAGATAATAAAGAGTCATTGATTTTTAATATTTCGTGAATTATTGTACCTGCTTAACTAATGTAACTTCTGAAGCGAATCCTGTAGTTGATTCATCTCCATGTTCCCCTGACTGATAACTGAAACAACAGATGTTACGAAAAGTCTACTGGAGAAGCTTTCATTCGTTGTACATTGATACCGAGCCTACACCATGCTGAAGAGTTGCCAAAAGCACCACACAGCTGTTCATGGTTGGCCGTCTTAATAACTAAGACTACTGGAGTTTCGGCTCCCTTGTAGCTGTTTTGAAAGTACTATATAAAATGAAGTCACAACTGACATTTCTGTCATCTGGAAGACAAAAAAAAAGGTTATTATGAAAACATCATTGTACGTTGTATGTTGAAAAAGGCCACCGTTAGCTAGGCTTTTTGAAGGTGCTTAACTAATATCAAAACTATAAGTACTTCCAGCGGATTTTGCTTAATAATTAATCGGTGTTGTCTGAAGTAGTAGATCATTCTATTGGATCATATATATCATTTTAAAAAATGCATACAATTATGAATTTTGACTTTGGATTTTTTCTTAAATTATACTTTCTACCTTGTATTGTAGTTGCGTGATATTTGGAAAATTGCATAAAGCATTTAGACTAACGCTTATTTCCTCAAACACGGAAACAAGAATATAATAAAAAAGCATTAAAGGATGTTTGGCAACGATATGAAATTTTTTGCACGTAACTTCATCGCCAACAGCAAAAAATTTAAAAATTACTGTAATCGTCAGTCAGTTATCTTCCCCAGTCAAGATCGCTCCTTCATGTCAAATGCCACATTACTCAACCAAAAGCTTATAGGTAGAGGAAGAATGCACATAAAATGTATTTAGGCAGTGCCCTTTAAAAATGAAGAAACCAAGACACGTACTGGCATAATGACAGAAAATTTGGAGCAAACTTGAATGAAAGCCAGACACTTTGCTCAGTAATGAATGAAACGTGAAGCTGAATATATTTTTTATGACTAAAACAATCAGATGTTCATAGTAAGCAATATATTATAGAATATAATCACACGATTATTTCACTTTACAACAGGAAGATTTCATCTCATTTTCTTCTCCCCCACTTGCCTTCTAACTTCATTTCTGCATCAATACTTTTTTCTATCCCGTCGCCTACTAATTTCGCAAATTTTTCTTTTGCTCCTTCGCTACTGTGCATAGTAGTCGAAAGTAGGAGGTGAAAGTACCTCTCCATCCCTTTTTCTATAGTCTGCTAGAAAGTCATATGAAGGTACTTCAACTCTTTCATGTCAAATGGGACTTTACCCAACCAAAAGCTGATAGAGGACGAATTTACATAAAATCTGCTCAAAGCCTGATGCATAGCAGACAGTGCGGAATGTCCTTTAAAACTGAGAAATTGAAACAAAGTGGCATAATGAGTCAGTTTGGAGCGAACTTGAATGATGACCAGACATCTTGCTCAATCATAAATCATATAATAGGAAACCTGAAGCTGAAACCATTTTTTTATGAATGAAACCATGGAATATTCATAATAACAAAATATTCTAAAATATAATTATATAATTCTTTCACTTTACAACAGGAAGATTTCATCCGGTCTCCCTTTACTCTTTTCCTTCTCCTCCACTTGCTTTCTGAGTAACTTCAATCCTGCCTCAATACTTTTTTCTATCTCGTCACCTCCTAGTTTCGCAACTTTTTCTTTTGTCCCTCTGCGACTGGGCCCGTAGTAGTTAAAAGTAGGAGGTGGAGGTACCTCTATACTGTTACCTCTATCATTTTGCGACGATCTGCTTCTATAGTCTGCTAGAAGAGGATCTTCAAAGTCACTTGACGGTATTTCCACATTTCTGGAGCTTAAAGAAGCTACCTTTTCCGTCATTATGGTATCTTCAAAATGGTCCCTATCACTTTCTCTCTTAAAGAAAGATCGTGATTCGCCAAAATTTATTTTATTGTGATGTGTACCAGCTACAGACTTCTTTGGATGTACCATAAGAGCATCTTCAAAATCACTTCGGTCATTTCCTCTTTTGAAATATGGGGGTGGAGATTCTCCAATTTTGATACCGCCAGACATTGTTTTTGGTGGATGTGTCATTATAACGTATTCAAAATCTGGGGAAGCTCCAAAAGAATGTACGTTAGGGTCTGATTGTTCCATTGATCGTCTGTAATCCGCTAATATATTATTCTGAAAATCATTATTGTTTTCAGCGAGTCTTCCTCTTTTAGTTTCTGAAGCACCGTAGTTAGCTTCGGCATTATACACATTGCTTTTTATTTGATTGCTAAATTTTCTGCAATCTTCTAAAAGAGCGTTATCGAAATCCCCACAGGGTTCATCCTGTACTGGTGTTGATAAAATGGGTTGGCTTAGGGGAATCTTTTCAAAATCTGACATTTTATTTTTCGCTTTATTATAGTTTTTACTATTTTTAATTGTAGAGAATTTCAATCCCTCTTTCTTGTATCCACCTTGAACTGCTTCCTTTTTCACTGTACTCCTGAAGTTCTGCCTTTTTGTATACGTTTGAGGAGGAGCAAATTCATGAGGACGTTCGTCCCGCTTCTTCTCTAGCCACTCATCTTGAGCCATTTCTTCAAAAATGGTCACACCTAAAAAATACAGAATAATAGAATCCAAGAGCAATTTTCAACAACTTTGGTTTTAAAGTAGTCAGTCATACTTCAACCTCATAATTAGAAATCATTTTAATCTTGACCAAAATGGTCACATACCTTCTTTCCCAATATCCCACGGACGTACATGTTTCTTCCTTAGTTTCTCCAATTTCTTCTCAGCTGTCTCTCGTTCTTTCTGTTCTTCTTCTCGTTTTTCCTTTTCTTCTTCTGATTCACAGGGTTTTTGTGGTTTCCGAGGTTCATCTGAAACACATAATATATCCAAAGTGAATATTCAATAGAGATCGACCGATATAGGATGTTTACAGAGACCGATAATCGGCCAAAAAGTGTTTTGTGCAGGTACACTTTCCCAAAAAAGGTATCTCGCTTATAATCGGCCTCCTTGTCAAAAATGTCTACGGGTGCCCATGACAACAATGATAAGCTTCTACAACCTTCCGAAACAGTACGTGTTATTGCCAGCAATCGAGCAAGTAACGTTTTTGACTAGTGCTCCCAAATAACAGCTTAGCCGCTCCGAATGTTTGAACGCTAAGTTTCGTAAAATGCGTTTAAATTTCCACGAAATATATACCATACATAAACTTCGAGCTAAGCCGACTTATGATATGCTCACTGAATGTCTAAAATCTTGACTCGGTATATGACCCTCGGTATCTGTGTGGGGGGGGGGGGGCACACAGATACATTTTTTTTTTATTTCAAAAATGAAACTTCATCACCCTGCATCTCGATAGGGAAGCATCTTTGAACCCATATTTATAGAAACTTTTTTTATTGTTTTATGTACTTTCTACCCTAGAAATATTGGCACGTGTTTCTGAAACACCTTGTATACTCCCACGATAGGTGCCCAATAATATCCCGCATCCAAACTGAGGGGACATACAACAGTACACATGATCTTAGTGGCTGCTCCTAGACTATGCTGATATAAATAGTTTAGCGTGAATTTTAATGTTTAGTCTAATCATAGAGATATTATACCCCTGGTTTGCGGAATAATTTTACAGTCTGGTTTTATTGATGCAAGTTGTTCAAGGGGGTATTTAAAACATGGACGCACAAACACCAATTTTTGTGGGAAAACTTTTTATTCGACAACAAAGAATGAGAAAACGAGTTTTTTTGGGATTCAGTCGGAAGTGTTGTCAGCAACCGAAAAACTCTTCAAATAAGATTTTTAGGTATTTAAAAGACCTTTCGTCTCTTGTCCTCCAGCATCGATTTCTTTTTCTTATGGATGTTATATTAGATTTTTGCACAGATGAACAGTTTTAAATTCTGATTGCAAAAATCTGTCATACGTCATGCATTGACATTGCCAAATTTCAGTTAATTAAAAAAAGCAGAGTTTCCTTGAAATTATCAGATTGTCACTTGTTCCGCACGCCAGATTTATCCCAAAATCACTTTTATTTTTTCCGGACTTTATTTGAGATAAAATTTTAAAATAAATTGCATGTTGTCATTGTTCTCCTCTACAAGATGGTGCAGTCAAATTTTCGATCCGACATTTTTTTCGACTTCCATCATCAACTTTGTTTTTTCATATGGACGCTATATTGGAATTTCGTACACTTAAATGGCATCTTGAAGAGGAGAAAAATTGGCAATGTTAATGTGCGACTTATTTTGACATCCCACTACAATTAAGATTAAAACGATTTTGGGAAAATTCGTTTTTTTCCGTCTCTTTCCGGAGGTACTTTGAAGCGACATTTTGTTGATTACCTATATACGCAACTTTGCCCCCATTTAAGCGACTTCGTATCTCTTACAGTTTCCGAGATCCCAATGGTGAGGGTCAAATTTGAAACGCCCTGTATTTATCTCCCGACAATTCATGTAGTATAAGCCCAGTGGAGAACGTTCTCATCATTGATCTACGATAATTTTTCATACTTATAAAAAATCAAATACCTTCTTCTGGTGGTAGGCCCAGCCTCATCCTCTTCCTGTCCTTAGCAGCTTTGATCCTAACCGCTAACTGTTGATCTCTCATTTCCTTCAAACGTCTTGCTTGCGCCTGTTTTTCCTCTGTCTCGTTCCTCAATTTCTTCAGCGCTTCCTGCTGTCTCAATCGCTCGTTTTCATCCGTTGAAAAGCCGTAGTAGCCTACACCATGTGAACGCGCCTCTAAAATTTATCGAAATCGCGTCAGCACCAAAACTGAACCTTTAAATATTAGAGATATACAAAATTGGTGTACGTCGATGGCATGAGTTTAGAAATACATACTTTGGTTTGAATTTCGGAAATGATCCGTATATTTAAAAATTTTATAGTTTTCATAGTTAGCATATTGCTTCAGTAAAGAAAGATCATTTCCTTGTGGTACTATTTCGTTAACAAACGGCATTTTAGGGCCAACATTTGTTGAAAAAAAAAATACAGGGTCTTATTCAAGTACATGGCCGAACTTCAGGAGGTGATTCTTTAAGCAATTTTAAGATGAAAAGTTCATATAAACATAGGTCGAGGAATACTTCATTTTCAAAAATCGGTTTTTCCTAAATATCAATAAACTTTCAGTCGATTTTGTTCAAATTTAGCAGTGGTATTAAGGGTAGTAAGGGGCTAATTTATCCCCAATTAAATTGTCATTATTAAGTCCAATGAGGTTCCGAAAAACACTCTAACCAATATCTTTGACAAAAATGTGTGCGCCACTGACTTTTTTCAATTTTTTATTTTTTTTTAGAATTAGGCTGCTAGAAATACAACTGTTTTGTCTCCTGAGTTTCTTTCATATCTCGCTAAATAAAATAAAAAGCACTTTATTGCATTTATTTGATAAAATTAAGTTAAACGAAAGTCGTCTTTTGAATATTTTTGCTCAGATTATACCTGCTTTCGATAAAACAAATAAACATAAAATATTTAAATATCATCATTTATTGTTGCAATGTTTTGCCAGTGGCGTTGCACGTTGGTAATGCTAAAAATTGAAAGAAAATCGAACCGGAAAAAAAACATAATAGTTGCTGAAAATGTACTCCGTCAACCTCAATGCAAGCATTCTTAACGTCTAAGCGATTGCCGAACTCGTTGAAATATTCCCGGCGTATGTCTTATCTGATCAGATGAATCTCGTATCGTTGGGTTAATTCTTCTTCAGCGTTAAATGGAGTTTTGTAAACATAAAAACAAACCAAATAATAAAGAATGGGAAAACGTGTTTATTGGGATTCAATTGAAAGTGTTGGCAGGAACGAAAAAACTCTTCAAATAAGATTTTTAGATATTTATGATACCTACAGAATGAGATCACACGTAAAAAGATCCGACTAATAGTAAAAAAGTTATGGCCGAAAACCGAGGCAAGATGCAGGTTGTTGGTAATGCGACGATAGTTTCAGGCAGATAGTTGAAATTCTTCAAATTAGTAGGCTTAAGACTTATAAATAACGACAACAAAATTGGAGTCGATTGGTCAAGTAGTTTTTGAGAATTTCTTATTGTTTATCCCCTTCGTTTTTCGCATAAAAATAACAATTATCTTTCGGAATGGTTTATGATTCATATCGGCAAGGTAAGCTCGTGTACTTCGCTATAAAATGCCCTTTGAACGAACCCTGTATATTGCTCAGTAAACTAGTAATGATAGCAGGAAGACAGGTGTTTCGGGATAAACAATTAGAAATTCTCAAAAACTACTTGACCAATCGACTCCCATTTTGTTGTAGTTATTTAGGAGTATGAAGCCTACGGATTTGAATAATTTCAAGAAGCTGCGTGAAATTATCATCGCATTAGGTAACAAGAGCCATAACCTGCATTTTGCATAGGTTTTCGGCCATAACTATTAGTCGGATCTTTTTACGTGTGGTCTCATTCTGTAGGTCTCATAAGTACATAAAAATCTTATTTGAAGAGTGCTTTAAGTACCCCCTTAAACAACTTGCATCATTGAAAGCAGACTTTACAATTATTTCGGAGAAATTTGCTAATATGATTAGAATAAGAGTAATAATTAATAATATAATTTGTAATAATGCTTCTATTTTTCGTCATTTGTGTTTGAGCTAGTGCAGTGAAAAAGGAGTTTCGTATGATTTAGTGCAAGGGATTTCTGATTTACACCATAATGGAATTATTTTAAATGATAAATGTTATGTTTTTCAACATATGGTATGTGATACTACTAATGAATCAAATATCTTGGGTATCAATAGTCATACAGGGTTCTTCACCTACTCAAGTTGTACCTTAGAACAGGATTTTTCTGTATTTTAATACAATGGTGAACCTATTATAGCAGAATGTAATTCCTCACAGTATAAAGCTATACAATTTCAAAGTTATCAAAATAAGTAATTTTGGAAGCATAGCGGTTATGGGTTTTACCTACAGTAAAATTAAGCCATTTTTAACAGAATGTGTAAGTTCATTCTTGTGGAATTATTTTCTTCACTATATGTGTTCATTACATTTATCTGTTTTTCCTTGAAATTAAAAGTATATGAGTATTTTTAATATATATCTTTTGAAGTAGGTAGATATTTGCATTATAAAAAATTACTTTTCAGTATTATGTTATTGAGATGTTACTTGAAATAATTACAAAAACATATCGAGTGTAATCCATAATCACATAGTATTTTATAAGCTAATTTCATGAATAACATTGAAAGAATCTGTTTCACTTTGAATTTGCCTTCTCATTTTTTTGCTGAACACGCATTATTTGATTGTAAAACAAAGAGCGTCCAAAGATTGTTTTCATGAGATGGAATGAATAGAATGAGAGTAATTTTCATTTGTACTTGGAGCATTATAATATATGTTCTGGTTGTAGGGTTGAAAATGGAGGACAAAGAAAATGGTGGTTTGAGAAATTATCTTCATAAAAGAAAACTTAGTAGAGTGTTGACAGAGGGATGATACATTTTAAGCTAATAGGGGATAATGATGATTCTGATGAACACTGGGAAATACATAAAGTATGTTGATCGGTTGGCAATGGTAAGCCATCATATCTTCAGTAGTATTTAGGATTGTAACAATTTGGAATTTGGACATTTGCGGCTAAACAATTTTTTTTTCAGGGGATTATAATATTGTCAAAAGAAAAGCAGAGTAAGCCAAAACTACCAGGGATATTTGATCTGCAAATGGAAATATTAAATCTCAAAACAAAAGGATTAGAAAGAAGCACCCAAAATATGATAACAGTGCATCAGAGACTTCGGCATCTGATGTAGAATGCACAGTTTTCTCTGCATTTCAGGTAAACATTTTTAAAGGTATTGAAATAATTTTCTAAAGTTGCTACAAATGAATTGTCTCAAATGAGCGAAAGATTTATTTTTTGAAGTGATCTTCATACTATCTATGTAGATTTATTGTGATTGCTGATAATATTACAAGTAAATGGTCCGTAAGCTCTGTCATATGAACTAGATATCAAACCTCAAGTTGATGCCTCTAGTTGCCATATTGTGCCCATGTCCCAATGTCCCATTAGTTGTACATTATATATGTTTATATTTTTTTATATATCACGGGAGCATGTTTCATTTGTTTTTATTAGTACCAGGGTTGCATTGTTTTACGTGTTGTAGTTCTAATACAGTCATTAGAAACACTGTACACCTCTAGCACATTCAAAAGAAATATACAGTCAATCACATATGCTGTACACAATTAACACGTTGACTGCCACCTCTTTTCGGTTGGTTTTACCCAGGAGCCAATTAGTTGTATAATGGTTAATTTGTTATTTTGGTAGTATAACTTCGTAAAATCAGTTATTGAAGTATTTTCGTAAAATGTTTTTTTAATTAGAAGATTTTTGTGGCTCTTCTAAGAGCTGACGGCACTGACTTACAAATCGGTTTCCTGTGTGCCAGCTGGCGCTTATAAGAGTCGGAAGATAATTATTTGTTTTTTATAATAGAAATAAACTAAAAGCAAAAAAAACATTTATTATGGACCGTTAACAAAAATAAAATATTAAAAATAATTTTTGTAACTCAAAATAGTAGAGAACATAAAAGTATAACAAAAACTTTTCCGGTAAATAATACACCTAATGTGATAAAATCTAATCAAAAATAAGAAATGAAACAACTTTTTTTTAGAATACAAACATGAATTTGTGGTGAATGCAGACTATTATTAGTGCAAAAAATTATTTGTGAATAATCTCCAAGCAGAATCCTGGAACATCAGGGAATGTTCTACATTCGTACATCGTTTGGGTACGGATTCGCTTTTTGCTACAAGACTGGTATCTTTTCCTGGATACTTGTTTTTTACCATCTAAATCACGTTTTACTAATTTGGGCCCTTGGGTGCCTGCAGTATTGTACCTCGACTCTGATAAGAGTCAGCGGCACCGACGAACATCTCGTGTTGACTCTTATAAGAGCCAGCGGCAGCGAACGTGTTAATTCTACCTAAATCAGGTAATCAGAACACTAAGTTTGAGGCCAAGAGAATGATAGGATTTTATTAGCTACTTTTAAGTAATCAGGGCAGCCATATCTCAAATATAGTCACATAGGCAGTCTGATAATTTATCTGACATAAAGATGATTCATTCTTTTAGGCGCAGGACTTTTTTAATATTATCCATTTCAAAAAAAAAATATTGAAATTACAAATTGCTCTCAACGTTTTTAATTCGGTTCCGCTACTCACTAGATGAAAAAACTATTTTTTCCTTTATGTTGCAACTTCTGACGTGACAGCTGAAATTTACATCTTGATTGACTATATCAAAGCAGAGCTTCACATTAAAACTAAGGCTGCAAAACAGTGTATGGAAAATAAACAGTTGTGGGAAACTGTTGGGTCTGATAAAAATATTCTCTTATCTTCTGTTGTATGCTGTGTCAAAAAATAAATCCTTTTGTACAATATGAATTGTGCCTTAGTCTAATGAAAAATGTCCTTCATATTCTGCTCCTCCCCTTGGAAACCGACATTCTGCAATTTTCAAATTTAAACCTGGCAACCCTAAATGTGTGTGAATTGTTTACCAATGACAATATTCCTTCATGTTAGAGTACGAAAGTATATAGTTAGTTAGAGCCAAGGAGAGGTCAAAAAAATTAGGAGCCCCATTTGTAGTTATAGAGTTACATAAAAATATACAGGGTGTCCAATAAGTACCACGACAAACTTAAGGACTGACCTCCCAAATAACAAAAAATTACCTATATAAAAGTGTTTCACCTGTGGTCTTTAGCTGCATGTACAAATAAGGTTATACTTTGTTCATTTTTTCTATAAAATACTTTTAGATAGTTGCTTTATCATATACAAATGCGATGTAGTTAAGAGATATTAAGGAACCATGATAAAATAAGGACTGTTTTGGGATTTATAACCTTCTGATATTGTTTCCTCAACTTTCATAAAATCACATCAGGAGCAGGTAATAATAATGTAGCTTTGTACTATGTAGCATGTCACTGATCGGTAACCAGTGCAATTTGAATTTAAATCCAGTAATTACATTGTAGTGTGTGTCAGTCACTTACAAAAGCACTTTATTCTATTCCAAATAGTACGTCTGGTGCCTTTCTGAAATCTGTATTCAATCAGCAATCCTTTTATTCAATACAATGCAGTTATAGCCCAGTACATTTTTGTTTCACCACAGATGGTCAAAGTTAAGGAAAAAATATCAGAAGGTTACAAATCCCAAAATAGTCCTTATTTGATCATGGTTCCTGAATATCTTTTAACTACATTGCATTTGTATATGATAAAGCAACTATCTAGAAGTATTTTATAGAAAAAATGAACAAAGTATAACCTTATTTGTATATGCAGCTAAAGACCACAAATGAAAAGGTTCGTTTTTTTTAAATTTAAGAAAAAATTCAATATCTCAAAAACGGTGACACTTTTATATAGGTAAGTTTTTGTTATTTGGGAGGTCAGTCCAAAGCCTACCTTCTTCTTAAGTTTGTCGCAGTACACCCTGTATGTTGTTAAGCTCACCCACCGTACTTCTCGCGCCATCTAGTGAGCGGCGCTTCAACGCATCAACCGTTTGCTACTGGCCAGGCGGTTACCCTACGTTACCGACCGGGCGAAAAATCTACAGGTTTTTTTGTTACCAACCGGTGACGCAAGAAGAAGAGGGGATGATGGTGCCATGAGAGAGAGACAGACATTATTGTTCACGTATATACAAAGTATTGTACCCTACATTTTTCTGTTATAAACCTTCGTAAAGCGAAGAACGTATAGTTATTTCATCGGTAAACCCTCCGAGTGAGTGCTTTACACGTTGGTCCTTCGAGCCACGATCAGTAACGTAAGAAAACGACGAAGTAAAGAAGCCACGCCACACCACGACCACGAAGCCACGCCACGACACGACCACGAAGCCACGCCACGACCACGAAAGCTAAAAGTATTGAAACCAGATGATTGAGTCAGAAATATCTGCTGTAAGTCTGTTCCTTATCACTTCCTTGTCTCGTTGATTCAAAATCAGGTCAATCAGTAGTGCAATCAATCAGTCATATCGTCTAGTTGAAAAAATGATCGATCCAGCTATGGATTCCGATTCCACAAGTGAAACTGCACAGCAGTTACGGCAGCTGCTCATCAAGCGAAGACAAATAAAGGGTTCACTAACGCGTTTTATAACGTATCTAGAAAACTTTGATAAAAGTGAAATAATTCAATTAGAGGCGCGTTTAGAGCAAGCCACGGGATTGTTAGACAATTTCAATACAGTACAAGATGAAATAGAGATTCTCAGTGAAACTGAGTTAAGTTCAAGTGAGAGAGCCACCTTTGAAGACAGGTATTACAGCGCAATAGAGAATGCACACAGATACACAAAAGCGAGCAAGCAAATAAACACAGAACCTTCATCAAACGTGGGCCTCTCACATCACCAGTTGCATTCTGTCTCAAATACAAGATTTCCAAATATTGAGTTGCCAAAGTTTCATGGTGAATATGAAAAATGGGGTCAGTTCAGGGATATGTTTTTGGCCTTAGTTGACAGAGATCCTACGTTAGATAATGTCAAAAAATTCTATTATCTGATGAGCTGTTTAAAAGGAGAAGCCGCAAGAGTAATCGAAAACATGGAAGTCACAGGAGAGAATTATGACCATGCATGGCAGTTATTAAAATCTCGATATGAAAATAGTACAGTTATCATAAAGAATCATGTTCGAGAATTAGTTGAAATGCCATCGGTAACTAGAGATCCTCACTCCCTTAGAAAATTAACAGATGACCTTCAAAAGCATTTGAGGTCATTAACTTCCTTAGGCGAGCCTGTGACACAGTGGAGTACTTTGCTAATTTATTTAATCACAAAAAAACTCGATCCTTCATCGGAAAAGTCGTGGGAGGAGCACGTAATCTCACGTCAAATTGAATCGCCTGGTATAGATGATTTAATCAAATTTTTAAATGCTCGGTGTCAATTGCTTGAGGCCATATCGCGTGAAAAATCTGATAAATCCACAGGCAGAGCACAGAATACATCGGTTAACCACAAGAAACCTGTAAGCTTGAATAGAACATTTTCGGGCGCAGCAATCGAAGCATCATGTGTGTATTGTAACGGTCAGCACGCGATTTACTTGTGCGATAAATTCAAAGCATTACCAGCCGCATCTTTGCGCCAAGAAATTCAAAAATTAAAATTATGTTGGAACTGCCTCCGACAAGGCCACCAGAAGGGTGAATGCCGTTCACGGGGGTGTAAGCGATGTGGCGCCAGACACAACACGCTGTTGCATGAATCATCTCATCACAATGCGGTCCCTGCATCGACGTCGTCTGCCACAGGGTCGGCACTGCTCGCGAGTTCTGAATCAGCGGCTACCAGTGGCGTAGCAATCGCTAAGGGTTCGAGTAGCGCAGTACAAAAAAATGATGATCAGTCGACAGGGTTGCTTGCGGGTAGCTGTGTGGACCTCAAAAACAGAGTTTTATTATCCACGGCGATAATTTTACTCAAAGATGCGGAAGGGCGATGGCACGAATGTCGCGCTTTACTTGATAGCGGATCGCAACCGAACTTCATCACGAAACGCACGGTGGAATTGTTGAAATTAAAGCCTATGAATAGTAGAATACCGGTATTAGGTGTAGGCAGTTCTGTTCCAAAGGCATGTCTAGTGGTATCTACAGAGATAAGGTCTACCTGCACGACGTTTTCTACAAAGCAAACGTTGTTAGTGTTGGAAAAAATAACCGAGAATCAGCCGAGCGTATCTTTCGCCCCAGAAAACTTGCGTATACCGTCCAGCGTACAGTTGGCGGACCCACGTTACCATAAATCGTCAGAAATCAATGTTCTCTTGGGAGCAGGATTGTACTTAGAACTATTGTGTTCTGGTCAGATCCAATTAGGGCCAGGACTACCCGTTTTGCATAACACGGTATTAGGCTGGATTATATCGGGGAAACTTGAGCAGGAACAATCCGATAGTACGGTAGTGTGCAATCTCGCCGTTAGCACGAGACTTGAAAGCCAGATCGAAAAATTTTGGCTCGTAGAAGAAGTCTCTAGACACATAACAGAAATACCCGAGCACGATGAATGCGAGACTTTATTCAGAAAAACAACGCGACGCGACGAACGCGGACATTTTGTTGTCACCTTACCAATAAAAAACAATGTAACACAACTGGATTGCAACTTACATAACGCGATAACTCGATTACATGCAATGGAGCGAAAATTCAGCAAAAATCCATCATTTCGAGAAGAATATGTCGCGTTCATGAAAGAATACGTGTCGTTGGGCCACATGTCGCGAATAGCTGAAACGGATATTACCCCTAGTATCGGGAATACCTTTTATTTACCTCATCACGGAGTATCGAACCCAGCGAGTACAACGACAAAATTGCGCGTTGTATTCGACGGTTCAAGCAAATCAAATAGCGGATTATCGTTAAACGACACATTGATTATCGGGCCTAAGATCCAACAAGACCTGTTTGACATCCTAGTGCGATTTCGAAAATATAGCGTAGTGTTGGTTGCTGACATTGCCAAAATGTATCGGCAAGTAGGTGTTGAAGAAGGTCAGCGTGACTTGCAGCGAATTGTATGGCGTGAAAACACAAGTGAAGACATAGCTCATTATAAGTTAAATACAATCACGTACGGCACGGCATCGGCATCTTTTCTCGCAGTTCGCTGTTTACAACAAGTTGGTCAAGATAATCTCGAAAAGTATCCTAAGACTAGTAAAGTTATCCTAAATGACTTTTACGTCGATGACCTGATCAGTGGATCAGACTCGGTAGATGACGCAAAGCAGTTAAAAAATGAATTAGCCGCTATACTTGACTCGTATGGGTTCCCGTTGAGGAAATGGTTGTCAAACCGCGTCGAGGCGTTAGAGCAAACAGTTAACAACGAATCTAATACGTTTCAGCTGAATAACGATGAGACGCGCAAAACATTGGGTGTATTTTGGAATGCCCAATCTGATGTATTCAAATATACAGTCGAAATAGATCAGTTCGTACTAAAGCGCATCACGAAACGAGGTATTTTATCCGCCATCTCGAAGATATGCGACCCGTTAGGGATACTCAGCCCAGTGACCGTAACCGTGAAGTTGATGATACAAGAGCTTTGGCAGTTAAAAGCGGGATGGGATGACATAGTCACTCCTAAGGTTTCAAAAGGTTGGACTAAGTTCATAAGTGAGTTATCGTCTATACAAGAAATCGAAACACCCCGACAAATTATTATGACAAACGCAACTCGAATCGAGATTCACGCATTTTGCGACTCATCACAGCGGGCATACGGCGCGAATCTTTATGTAAAAAGTACCGGACCACAAGGTTCAACCGTAAATTTGCTGTGTTCAAGATCTCGGGTTGCACCGTTAAAGGC